GCGCTGGAAATGCGTGCGAGGACACACACACACACACTCACGCACACACACACACACATACAATCACACACTCACACACACTCACACACACACACACTCACACACGCACACACACGCACACACACGCACACACACACACACACACACACACACACACACACACACACACACACACACACACACACACACACACACACACACACACACACACACACTCACACTCACACACACACACACTCACACACATACACACACACACACACATGGATGGATGGATAGATAGATAGATAGATAGATAGATAGATAGACAGATAGATAGACAAATAGATAGTTAGATGGATGGACGGACGGATAGATAAATAGATAGATAGATATATACATAGATGGATGGAGGGAAGGAAGTATGGATAGATAGATAGATAGATAGATAAACAGATAGATAGATGGATGGATAGATAGATAGATAGATAGATAGATAGATGGATGGATGGACGGATAGATAGATAGACGGGTGGATGGATGCATGTATATGTATATATATACACAGATACCTCCCGCCCCCCCTCCACCCATCCACACAGGCACACAGCGACGATCTGTTCTTTTTTAACTTGCTACTTAATCTTCCATCAACGACACGCTGTACATTCATCTTGCTTGAGGCAATCCGGCATCCTCTATCATGTCCAACATCAAATCTCATTCAGTTCGCATCAATACCTTTCACTCGGCTTTCCCTGCATGTCAAACGAAGGGGCCTTGTGTTCTGCCTCACCTCGTTCTCCATGAAGGGGAACATAAGTATGGCGTGGGCTAGCAGGAGGGCGATCTCCATGTTCATCTGTATAACCCTGTCAGGCGTGAAGATCCTCATCAAGAAGAAGAGTATGAGAGTAATCGTTAGGAAGATGATGATGATGGTCGAGGCGGACTTCGAGATGACCGTTGCGACCACCTTCTGCTCCGCCGGCAGGGTGGGGATGGGCCTCGGCGTGGGGGTCGTTGGAGGAGGACCTGGTCAAGTGAGGAAGCATTTCAAGTAGGCCTATTTTGGATGTATTGCATTGAATCAGTTTGGAAATTTTACGACGGGGAATCTGAAGTTCTCTAGGTAATGGTGGGTGTTATGAGTAGAGGATTATAAACTTAATTCATTTGGAAGTGGTTCCATCCTGTATATATACTATAAACAAAACAAAGAAGTTATGAGCCAGGGGTTCTTGCTAAACCGAGTTTTTAAAGAGATTTTCAGTTCGTTCTTGAACTGAACCAATTCGGAAATTATAACAGAAATAGATTCTAGGTTATTTAATCTTGGTGATTTGAAGGACTCACGGATGCAGGAGGTCTTGTCGGAGTTCATCTGGTATCCCATGGTGCAAACGCAGAATGCAATGGGATCGAGTTCGGTGGAGTTATCCTTGCACACGCCGTACTCCGGACACGACATTTCTTCACACGGGCCTGTAGTGCGGGCAGAGGTCAGTCACGCGAGATGCCAGCATAATACGAGCAACCAAATCCCAGGCTTTATATTAGAGGGGGCAGATACGCTATCAACCATTAGATTTTACGCATGCAACTTTACCTATGAGTGATGTAATCGGTTGCAAGACGCGTTTGTACAAGAACTCAAGTCTGATTATAAAGCTTTGGTAACTAATGAACCTGAGAGTGATGGACCTTACTTGGACATGCAGTCTTGTTCCAGGTGTTGCACTTCTCTGATTCCACTTTGGACTGGTCACCTTCACAGGTCACATTCCCACAGACGGCGCGACGGTACCTGAAGCCCCTTCCACATTCCTTGCTGCAGTTTCCGAATTCCGTCCATTCGTTCGCTAAAATAATCAAATTACATTATATGGGGCAGTCACAGGCCAACGTAGTAAAAATGAGACTTCATCGACTGCTTGTATTTATAAACCACGAATAAAACACACCAACTCAGACCCGCAAAGAGAAGATCTTGGCAAGGGACTCACCCCAGCAGCTCTGTGTGTTGCAGTCGTAGGTCTTCCACTCGACTTCCTTCTCCGTGCTGTCCTCCGCGGTGCACAGTTTCCCTGCACCTGAGGGGACCGGGTGGGTGCAGGAGCGGACACGGTGGTTGATGCCTCCCCCGCAGCTTTTGCTACAGGGAGTGGCCATTGATGACCAAGGACTCCAACCGCCATCGAGGTCTTGTGAGGAAAAAAAAACACGTGAAGAATAAGGAGAATGTATTCTATTTACAGTAAAACGTCACAGTATAGTTTTGTACATATAGTGGGTAATTAGTACAACGATAATCACATAATAATTCACAAACTGTAACCAAGTCCTTACATCTTATAAGCGTAGTGACATTGTTTCCTGTAATTATATGATTAGTCGCCAATGAAGCTCCCAGGTTGCAGTTGAAGAGGAAGGACTTACCTCTTGATGAAGTGACGACGAACAGGGTGCAGAGCAGCGCTAAGCCTAGGACGATTCTGGCCGAGGTCATCATCTCCTCTTG